AGAGTAAATAAAACCAAAATTAAGAGCAAAAAAATTTTTATTTATTGCCTTTAAAGTTCATATGTGATGCTGTGTTGTAGCCTGCAGAGCGCATAATTCTTCTCGTGGTTCACGTCATGTTAACGTTCTACTGACGTCACGACAGAACAAATTGCAACGTTTAGCGTCATTTTACTTTCTACTGACAGACTGACTGACTGACAGACAACACACTACTATATAGTGGCTCGAATGATTAAAATAGGTAGCCCCTTCAGGCGACCTTTCGCTCTCTATCCGGAAAGTAACGGTCGTTTTAAATATATTGTTTACTTTCTACTGACAGACAACACACTACTATATCGTGGCTCGAATGATTAAAATAGGTAGCCCCTTCAGGCGACCTTTCGCTCTCTATCCAGAAAGTAACAATCGTTTTAAATATATTGAAGCTCGAATTTAAGGTGTATGGATTGAAAAACTATGTTTTGCATAGGTTTTGGGAATGTAGGGAGGCTTAACGCTACAAACAAGAGCTAATCCTACAGGTTGTTTTGTAATGATAAATTATCAGCGTAAACTTGTACAACGGTATCGACAACGTTTACAAATAGCTCTTATCTTGTAATTTGAAGCGATCTCAAATAAAAAAATATATTAAGAAGCATATCACGTTTGAATGACAGCGTTTTATAGTTTGTTATGTTAATGGATTGTAAATAACACATATTTTCATAAATATCAAGTAAACGTTCCGGGGGAAGGGGGGCTATTTTCATCTAAAACGTTTGTGTTTAAGGAAAAGATTAAAAAAAGATACAGTAATGGAAAACTTTGAAAATAATAACCGATACAGCTGTTAAACTGTAGTCTGCCTTTAAATTTGTGTCTGTGAACCAGCCAACAAAGGTTACACTTGGAAGGCTACAGGTTATTAAGTATTGATCCCCCCTTTTTTTTGTTGCCGATATTTATGGGCTTGCTGCCGAACCATCTGCACTATTCCCCGGCGCCATCGTGGTCAAACCAGGCGATCTGTTTTGTTCCTTGAAGTTGATTGAAAAACCGATGAACTTCTCCATTAAGAATGTTTTGCTGACGAAGCAAATTACATGGAAAACAAAACATATTATTTTATAAAAATGTTGTTTGCTATCTCAATATCGAGTCACGAAGCCAGTGTTGAAACATACCCCACGTAGTCTAGAAACAATGGCTTTATAGCGCGTTTCGATGCTCATCCACAAATGTGTGTGAGTGTGCGTGTAAGAGTTTATAAGTTAAAACCAAAGCGGTTTCTTAACGTTATGCTATTGGGGGGATTCGAGAACCATGACCAAACAAAATATTCCTTATTTGGGCAATTAGCCCCAAATTTGTTAATCAGATCGACAACCGACCACCATTATTATTATTTTTTTTTTGCTTTCTTTCATTAATTAACTGCTTTACGTATAAATAGATATATATATAAATCAATAATTCTAAAGCTATCAAATACATTAATTGAAGATAGGCAATTTTTAAATCAGCACTATAAAACAATAAAGAGGAAATTAGTATAAATCAAAAACACTACAAGGTGACCTAAAATCAAAATTAATTTTGCCATTACCAGTTCTTAGTGTCATAACTAAAACTCATAACAGATTATGCCTGTGGCCATAATACCCAAACGCGTCGGGGATATTACATCTATCCAGACGCGGATTTCAAACTAGCTAGCAGTTAAGGAAAATCAGTTAAGGGTTAAGAGTCGAGTATTTGAAGCAATAACGTCTCAACTCCTACTTCCTTTCGCTATCTGCAGCTAGTTGTGGGAAAACAGTTACCCTTAACATTTAGATATAGTCTTAAAGTAAAAATAAATAACCCCAAAGGGTGGAGGTTGAGGATCTTGTAGAAATAAAGGGTGATCTATTTTTACTATGAGAATATTTTTGTCTTTTTTTTTGTACATCTCATAAAAAGGGTGAGGGTTGGGAGTTTTACATTGTAGAAATTTAGGGTGGTTTATGTCTACTTTAAGGTTGTATCTAAATGTTAAAGATAACTATTTTCCCACAACTGATTGCAGACAGCGAAATGTAGTAGGTATTGAGGCGTTGTAGGTTCAAGAACTCAAACTCCTAACTCTAACTGATTCCCCTTAGGTGCTGACATCGGCGTCTGGATCTCGTCTGATAGATGGAATATCTCCAACGCGTTTAGGTATTTTGGCCACAGACATTGTCTGTTATGAGTTTTAATGATGAAAACAAGAAATAGCAATGAAAAAAAATTATTTTAGATTTTTGGTACCTTTTTAATGTTTTTGATTTCTGTATATATATATATATATACTTCCAATTTACTTCAACTGCATCACTACTATAAGTGGAATCTTCACATGTGACATGTGCTCAACCACGGATCGTAAGTAAGATTACAAGTATAACTTGAATATCCATCAAAATATAATTACACTAAATTTATTGAACATAAATAATTAACATACATTCGCCAGTTGTAATACAGGGTTATTTTGTATGATATTTAGAATATTTGATAAACTAATATACCTGTAGCCTCATCAATTTTTACTAATCTATTACAAGCTCTGTTGCAGCGAAATACTTGTTAGCTTTTAAATATGTCGGTTTTGTTGATCAATACAATTCATTAAAACTTGCATTTTTATTACTAAATAAAGTTAACCTTTTTGTATGTTTTCTTTCCTTTTCTGTGCTTAGTCATTAATTATTAATTGTTTTTATATCAACTATGTTATTTCATACTATTTTTAACTATGTTCGATTCCACGCGATGGACACAGCAGAAAACCAAATGTAAATTTCCTCTAAAACAAACAAACAAAATCTTGCATTGTTTTCTTTTTCATTTTAATTGTTGATTTGTTCACAAGTTTAAATACTTGTATAACCGTTTACATTGATTGTCGTTACAAGAACAGTTGTTTTACTGTGTACCGTTTACATTGAATGTCGTTACAGGAACAGTTGTTTTACTGTGTACCGTTTACTTTGATTGTCGTTACAAGAACAGTTGTTTTACTGTGTACCGTTTACATTGATTGTCGTTACATGAACAGTTGTTTTACTGTGTACTGTTTACATTGAATGTCGTTACAGGAACAGTTGTTTTACTGTGTACCGTTTACATTGATTGTCGTTACAAGAACAGTTGTTTTACAGTGTACTGTATAGATTGAACAAAACACAGTAAAACAACTGTTCCTGTAACGACTAAAGATTAGGAGCTAGAAAGTGGAAATATTAGGAGTGCGTTTAAAATATCGACTATGAAAACAACCAATATTGACTAAAGGATGTTAGCTGCGAAGAAACATTGAGCATTTTTTACTCCAAATTAAGTACTTTTTTGTGTCTTAATCAATACGTTACAGTTTATACTGATAGTTCCCTGTCTACTACATAGTAGACGAAAGACACTGCGAGCAACGACAACATCATTTTAATTAAAAAGTTAGAGTGAACTTGTACTGAAATAAGATTTATGTTTCTGTATAAATACCTATCATGTTTGAAAAGTTGAAGTTTCGGAGCTTATAAGCAGAATTTTTAACGGACAAAATTATAATTTAAACCTGTAAGTTTTGTACATTTGAAAACGTTAGAGGGCTTAAAGCCCTAAAACTTGTTCATTGTGCAAGTTCATTGTGCTTAGCAACCAACACTTGAAAAACCCTTAGATATTACTTTTATATTACAGATAACGTATCTAAATAAAGCAAAATGATAATATTTCAACAAATTACTAAAACTTTGAATTCTTATTTGTTTGAAATATTTTATTTTATAAAAACGTAAGAACGTTTGTACATGCGTTACTAAAATACCCTAATACAATAACGTTGATGCAGTTCCTGTGTGACAAATGGAAGTCGGTCGATCTAACAAGTGACTGTAATCAGATAGAAATATCTATACTGAATTAAATAGCTGGAATACGGTTTATAGCACATAGATCAATCTAATGTATATCATAGTAATGATGCTACATTTACATCAATCAAATGTATATGATGGTAAGAATGTTCCGCTTACATCAACCTAACGTATATGATCGTAAGGATGTTCCGCTTACATCAACCTAATATACATAATCGTAATGATGCTACATTTACATCAATCTAACGTATAGAATCGTAATGATGTTCCACTTACATCAACCTAATGTATATGATCGTAAGGATGTTCCACTTACATCAACCTAACGTATATGATCGTAAGGATGTTCCGTTTACATCAACCTAATATACATGATCGTAATGATGCTACATTTACATCAATCTAATGTATTCTACAGTGATGATCTTCACGGTTTACGAACTATGTTGGATTTGAAACGACAAACAGAAAAGTTCAGCATTACTTTGTTGAGTCTGCAACAGGAGCTAAAACTGTTTCTAAAATTCATCTTGTAATATTTAACTATTGTCAGTTTTAAGAAGTAATATTGTAATAGGTAATATTAAAACCCTTTACAAATCCAGCCTAAATTCGAGTACTTCTAGTACTAGAAGTAGTGCAAAGCAACACGATTTACAGGGGCCGTTTAATCACTTGACTCGCTCATATAGTTAGTTGTTACAATACATACGAGACGTTAATAAAAGGCGATTACTGTCCAGTAAAAAGGGTTATTCAATGTAAATTAATTATTTATATCCACCATGTAATATGGCTTATATATTTTTTAATAACTCAAATTGCTAAGTTTAGGTTTGACAGACCGTGGATTCTGTTAATGGTGATTGATTTGAAGAAAAGGCTGCTAATATTTTCTTAGCAGCCAACCAGAATGCGCCGTTATGAATATCGGTTAATACACTGAGAAAAACTGAATGAGAAATACCAAACAAAGACGAATTAACGATGGTTTTGTTTGGTTGAAAACCGTCATATCTACTCTCTTTAAAATTTATATACATTTCTATAAGAATAAAACTGCCATAGCTAAACTGGGTCTCCAAACTATTGTTATTTCGAAACACTTACCCTCAGGGCCACACTCAATTTGCTCCAGAAACTGGAAAACCACGCAAATCACCCCAACAGTCATTAGTCTAAGCTGGCTAGTCCAAATCAACATATCTTTTAACATAGTGATTTGAAAGTTAATGTATTTATTTCTCCGCTCTAAGTGTTCTTTTCCGTCACCGATTTTTAGATTACAAAAAGTTACTATGTATACGAGAGGAGAATACCTCGCGTTCTAAGAAACTTTCTATGTCTTGTTCAGGAATATTCAACATTCCTAAGATCAGCCGGCAAAAGGATTCCAGTGGCTCCTGAACATTTTCTCCGCTCACTTGTTCGTTGACGATGGGTGTTCACGATGCTCGTGCCGCAATGCGATAAGGAGAAGTTCCGTTAAGGTAAGGTGTGGAGAGTATTTCGCTTGGTGTGCTCTGAATGTTAAACCAGTTCGCTCAGAACAGAGCACTAGATCGGTTCTATGGTCACGTGAGGCTGTCATGTGATGCTGCAGTGTTCACTTGTGTCATTACGGGCCAGGCGGGGTAGAACTACTGAACTTGACGAGAGCATTTTCATGTTCTACGCTTAAGAATTCAAAACGAAACAGGTTATGTACCAGAAACTCTAACTTTTCTTCTGATTAAATGTAAGATTCTTAAATCTATAGGTCAGCACAAAAACGTAGCTTAAATCAATAAAGTTAATTGTTGCTATGGTTAGTATCTTATAGGATGACCTATGTTTAACTTTACATATATTAATTGGTAATTAACTATACATGTATTTTTAAATGTATATATATATTAATCGGTAATTAACTATACATGTATTTTCAAATGTATATATATTAATCGGTAATTAACTATACATGTATTTTCAAATGTATACATATATATTAATAGGTAATTAACTATACATGTATTTTCAAATGTATATATATATTGATAGGTAATTAACTATACATGTATTTCCAAATGTATATATTAATCGGTAATTAACTATACATGTATTTTCAAATGTATATATATATATATATATATATTAATAGGTAATTAACTATACATATATATTTTTAAACGTGTGTATATATATATACTATTTGTTTTTATATTAAACTATTTATTTATTTTATGTAATTAGATACTTATATCATATGTTTCGGCTGATAATCTGTTGCTGTCTTCAGGGAAGACTTAAGAAGGACTATTTCTGTGTTGTAAGTGGCCGGAATTTGATCCTAGGTCTTCTCGATAGAAAGTCTTGTGAGTTAGAATATATAAAAAAGGGTGGTCGTATATGCTACTAACCATGACAATGATCGATATCCGATCTTCTTAACACTACCGAAAGTACTTAATGTCGTAAATACACAAGTATGACGATTAGTGTGCATTGATTCATCATTTGCTTGTGCTCGTTATTAATGATATTTTCTGTGTAAACACATTAACATCTCGGTCAATTAAGATGAATTAGCTCTGTCCTAAAATGTAGAAATGTAGAATAATCTTCACAAGTGTATTTGATAATAATATTACTCAAGATTACTTGAAACACAGTATACCGATAATATGAATGAAATCATATATATGAGTGAATTATTAAGCCCAGCTTATATTCGCTACTCATGTTTAAGAAACAAAGTTTCAGAAGTCTTCTAACATACACATATAAAAATGCTTTAAGATATTTTCTTGCTACTTGTTGCAGCCATGTTTTGTCACATGATCTGGCATTATTCTCTGATTGGGTCTTGACAAATGTTACTAGATTTTGAACAGTGCTGAAAACTCAGTCGCTTGTTACCAATTTCCAGAATATACCTGGGTAATTTTTTTACCGAATCAAGGTTTCCGAAACAGATTCGGTAGCATACCTAACGCATGTTAGGTTTTGCTGTTACAAGGAAACAAGGCTTAACAAATCATCAAGAGAGAAAGCATGTGATAAATAGTCATATTGTTTTATTCTGGTTTTATTTAGATATTTAGCTAAAGACACTGCGATAATGGCTTTAATTTATTAAGCCTTTTTACCATGATGTTTCGGTTTTGTAAAATCTTTAAACGTTACGATTATGTTCCAGTCCACACCTTTTGGCAATCAAAATCCCAATAAGGCATACAAATAATAAATAACATTTTTACACACACATGAACGGTTTTTATTTTATATTAAAAATATTTTGCAACCAAAACAAATCAGCTAGGTTTGATTTATCTTGCAGTGCATTACACGTAACTGGAAAATCTTAAAACACATTTAAATGATTAACAATGGTCATCTACAAACATAAACATTTGAGACATATTTTTATCTTAATGAAAACCGTTGTTTTTATTCCTCAAACCACCGACGTATTCTTATACCGCGTGTTGTATTTATTGAGCGATCTTATGACATGGCCTGTTATAACACTTGGTATGGAGAACTGTCCAAATAAAAGAATAGGAATAATTCATATAATATACATATAATACATTAGAGGCCCTGTAATTAACAAATACATGTAATTTGCTGTTAAAATGTGTTTAAAAAGCTCAACCCATAAGCAATTCTCTGGTTAAGGAATGTGATTTTTTTTGGCATAAGCTCTACTTAAAAGTCTAGTTTGGTTGAATCCTAATTAATTTGAAAAGAAAACTTTTATGCTATTTACTAAAGGTAGTAATATCTATATCCGTATTTATATAATAATCTTATTGTTCATCTGATCTAGTTTATATGATAAAAATTTTGAACAAACCTCTAACATGGTAATGGGAAAACATAACATAAACACGAAGGGTAAGTTAATATTAAACAGCAGTCTATTTTTTGGGAAAATACACACTTTAATAAAATGATGTCAGTTCCAATATACCAGAGTACAGAGATATATGACTGTCAAATAACCTTTCAAAGTATTTTCGAATTTTCTGACTTTAGTTTAACTGTAGTATCATTTGACTTAAATAGAAGAATTGACTTAACGAATAGTTCAGATCAAAACGTTTTCATAAGATTAGCACCTGGTGGTGTTCGTACCTTAGAATAAAAAATACCAAACGAACATACCCAAACATTATATTCAAATAACCATTTATGCGTATTGCATTCGCTGCCTATAGGGCTATCCATAATGTGGAGATGAAGCCAAATGATGAAGAAACACAGACAATAAAAATATTAATCATTCGTTAATAGTTTGCTTCTAGTTATTCATCATTTATAAGAATGATTAAATACATGGTTATAAAAGAACAGAAGTATAACTCATTTTAAATAAGATTTCTAGCATAAAGGGATTTCTTCAATTATTCTTATGTTCTTCCTCCAAAGTTTTCTTATCTTTCTTCTTTAAAAAATCTCAAATTCAAGAGCTTTTATCACAAATATGATAACGGGAAGCACATATAAAGATATCATAACTGCTTAAGGGATAAATCCTGGAAGGCAACACTCCACTAAGTCACATAAACTTTTCAAAAATCCTTCAGACATTGTGTATTCATAGAAACAGACTCGTATAGAGTAAAATTCAACACCTTGTAAACTCTTTTATTTAGATGACACTAGATCACTGAACCATTTTTATTATGAAGCACAGGAAACGAACACTTAAGTAAATCACACAAAGTTTCTACAAGCTTGAGGAAATCGATTTAATAGAACCAGTTGAGTTTATTTTAGGATAAAAATGTGTAATTGTGTTATACTCTATCCTATTTGAATTTCCCTAATTTCTTCAAAATACAGTTTTCTGTACATTTTCCAACCATAACAACGGTTTTTTAGTGCCATCTTAATGTTCAGTCTTGATACCAAGTAAGAAATGTGAACGTGGTTTATATGTTTGTTTTATTTAATGAATTTTAACGTAGAATAGGAAACAGGTACTTTTATTTAACTTCATTCTTGATACAATTCGAGTACAGTGACGTAGGAGTTAACAAAGAAATATAGGGGATTTATTCAGCCGCTATTATAAACTGAAAACTATTGTTCTTTTAACACCACAAACCAACTTACAGTATCTTTTTATATCTGATTCACGATGTATGTTTTCTAAAGACTGACATTAAATTTGAATATCTATTTTTATGTTGAATTTTTAGCAAAGATTTTTTTCAGTATTCCAGCGAATTATAGTTAATGTTATAATTTTACAAATAAAATGAGAAGCTTAAGAGTTTATGAAATTGGAGTCAATTTTACAATTACATGGACTTCTTTAAACTGTACTATAGCTGGATTTATGTCATTAAAACTTTACTTTACAGTAAAGAAGTGCTGATGCTTTTATATGAGTATAATAAATTGTTCAATTTCTCTAACTAATCTATGGGTATCAGTTTAGATATTGCTGAATATTAAAAAACAATCGCCTATACTGTTTAAAACATATCTGCTAGTTTCACACAACAAGTTTTTATCGGTTGTACATAGTAAAACATATCTGCTAGTTCCACACAACAACTTTTTATCGGTTGTACACAGTAAAACATTATCTGCTAGTTCCACACAACAACTTTTTATCGGTTGTACACAGTAAAACATTATCTGCTAGTTCCACACAACAACTTTTTATCGGTTGTACATAGTAAAACATTATCTGCTAGTTCCACACAACAACTTTTTACTCAGTCTTATTAGAAATGTATGATATGTTGAGGATGGTAATATAAGGAAACCCCTGATGGTTCAGCGTTAAATCTGAGAGCTAATGACATTAAAAATGGGGATTTGATACCCACGATCAATAGAACACAGATAGCCAGCGAATTTTTGCTTGACAACAATATAGGCAATCAAATATTAAATGTGAGTTTACTTAAATCTCATTTCCTCAGTCACCAAAAATCCGCAAACTCGTACTATACTATGATAAGTTCAATTCTAAAATCATAAAATTTCTTAAATGATATATTTTGAAAAACAACTTTAAAACTTTTCAATTTGAAAATGTATATCTAACAACTCTAACCTGATTTTCAATATTGCGTTTTATATATTTTGATAAATTGTTCTGTATAAAAGAAAAGTGTTAGAAACAGCATTGTACATGTGGTTTCGATAGGATAGACAGCAGATATAAAATTGAATTATTCAAAACAAATTTAATTTTTTTTACTCATCTCTGCTCCAAACTGGTTCAGCTGTAAGTCTGAAAGCTTATAACACTAAAACCGGTTTTCGATACCCATAGTGGATACAGCGCAGATCGCATATTTGTGCAGCTTTGTGCTTAATAACAAACAAACTTCACCTAGTTATCGACGACTCTATATATTTCTATATACGAGTGATGAAACAGCCACAACTGCTGTTTGCCAATTACTGACCTGGCGTTAACGGTATTATATATACAGGTTTAGTATAATAAGATAAGCAGATTTTGTGTTCATAAGTGCACAAACATAAT